ANATGACGCGGTATGGGTGATAATGAACTGACTTATGAAGTCGGCACACTTTTTGGTTGTGTGGATAACCTTCATACTGGAGAAATTCTGTAGATTGTATATACGGGAGATTGTCTAGTTGCACGGGGTGCCCAAATCTATAGTATCGGATCGGGATCCTAGGTTTACGGCTCATTTTTGGGAGAGTTTTCAACGAGCCATGGGGACACAGTTGATGATGAGCACTGCTTTTCATCCCCAGACGGACGGTCAGTAAAAGAGGACCATCCAGACGTTAGAGGACATGCTACGGACATGCGTCATAGATCTCAAGGGTAGTTAGGAAAACTACCTATCCTTAGTGGAGTTTGCCTACAACAATAGTTATCAGGCGAGTATACAGATGACACCTTATGAGGCACTATATGGGAGGCCTTGTTGTTCTTCGATTTGTTGGACAGAGGTAGGAAAGAGACCCTCTATGGGTCTAAAATTGGTTAGAGACACCTCAGAGAAGGTGAACTTGATACGAAGAGCTACGCTGATAGACGACGATGACCTTTAGAGTTTGAGGTGGGAGATCATGTCTTCTTGAAGGTGATACCTAAGAAAGGAGTGGTCAGGTTCGACAAGCGGGGAAAGCTGTCACCAAGATATATTGGGTCCTTCGAAGTACTTGAGAGGGTTGGTACAGTTTCTTACCGGTTGATGTTATCGCTAAATCTATCAGGTGTTCACGCGGTATTCCATGTCTTCATGCTTCAAAAATACACCCCATATCCGACTCATGTGATGGATTGGGGCAAGCTTGTTGTTGATACGGATGAGACCTTCGAGGAGGGACCGGACCGGTGCGTATCATGGATAGCCAAGATTAGATTTTACGAGGCAAGACCGTGAGGCTAGTGAAAGTGCTATGGCAGCACCAAGGAGTGGAGAAGGCAACATAGAAGCGAGAGGACACTATCCGTACCAGTTATCCTTTCTTATTCGAGGATGGAGGTACATTTTTTGTAGTTATAAGTATGATATACTTGTCGCATATGCATGTGGTTGAATATGCATGTGTGTGTGAATTTCGGGAACGAAATTCTTTTAAGGGGGAAAGAATGTAAAATTCAGGTAAATTTGAATTTTTTTCTGAAAAAGGGCAAAACGGTAATTTATCATTATAATACAGATTTAAAATATGTATTTCTATAGAGCTCAGATGATGCAACGGATCTCACTGTTGGATTCTTCTTGCAAAATCTAGTTATCCTATCAATTTTTATCGAATTTCGAGATAGTTAAATTTTTTACATTTTACGAGATAATTGGGTGTCAGGTGATCTCACAAACGTCCCTAAAAATAAAATTTATAAAATTTTCTTATAATTAAAGGAAAGTTCAAATAAAAATAATTTAAACTTAAATCGGGATGAAATTAATCGTTTTGAGACAAAAATGCACCCGGACAAGGGGGCGTGTGACACGACGTACATCAAGCATCAAGGGCTATAAATATCGGTAAAAATCTGATTTTTTAGAAGAAATATCTTCTGAAATTAGTGTGTAAATGTGTGAGGAAGAGAGTTAAAGTCGATCATATCAATGAGGGTTACGCAACTGTACCAAAAATGAAGGATTTCACCAAAAATGCAAAGAAGAGATTTTGAAAAATCAAAAGTTTAGAGTTGTGGTTGGTGTTCTTGAAGGTTTTATCCTTCCTACTTTGGTTTATTTCTAACCAATGGTGTCCATAGGGAATGGTTAAGTGTATAGAACTTGCCTATTGTTATGAAAATGAGGAAATGAGTATAGAAATGGCTTGAACCAATGTCTAGCTTGAATTTGAGGTGTGGAAGTTACTTGTGTAATTTCTTGGGATTTGGTATTATATGAGCATGCTATGTGTCTATATTGTGCCTTTGTGAAAGAAATGTGTTAGTGACATAGATTATGTACTAACATGCTTGTGATATTGTTGTTGATATATGCTTAGTGATATATTAACGGTGTGATAAATTTTGGTAATTATATGCATATGATGTAAGTTGCCATGAAATATGATGATATACGGTTAAATTGCTCATTGAACATTCATTTCATAGTAGGCATTTTGTTGGCATCTCATTTATGGGCATTGGACATGAGTGTAGGTGTGAGTGAATGGTTGATCAAACACCATAGTTGGTGGTTGATAAGTGGACTTAGAAAGGTAAGATTGAAGATTCCGTTGAGTCATATGGTTGCATGAAAAACTTGTGTCGGGTATAGAAAGAAGGGACAGATTCTCTCTCGGGTGAAAAACTCGGCTACTTGGTTCATACATTCCCCTGTGGTGAAATTTTGAAAAAGTGCAATGGCGTACGGAGCCAGCGGTGTGATTCCAAAATCCGATACCCAATAAAGACATATAATTTTATTTTATAAAGTACTCATTCGATGAGTAACATCCAACAATGATTTGGTTTTCTAAACACGTGACTTTTATTTCAAGCAAACATTAGATGTATTTCATCAATGACAAATGTATTACACACATGCATTGCATTGTATTGTGAGAATCGATGAGGACTCGGGTTAAAGTACATGAGTGAGTATCATCTCATATCATGACAGAAAATGGTAGAATTTCCATCTTGAATTACTTGTTCTTGTTTGGAATGAATAATGGTTGTTGATTGTTGCATGTGCACATTTCATATGCATCTAAGTTGGGGAGTAGCCTTTGTAAGAGATACTCTATTGAGCATAGCTCATCCTATACAGGAAAATATTTCAGGTGGGAGATACACGCTGTTGGACGGTGCTTATTCAGGGTCCCAGTGACGAAAAAGGGCCGACTTGTGGCTTTTAATTCATTTTTATAAAATTTTTGCAAAGTTAGTTTTTGGGCATGTAATGTATCTAAAAGAATTGTAATTTTGAACTGGTATTAACTATGTTTAATGCATGAATTCAAGATGTAGGAGTATAAATTGATATACATTGGATCTCGGACGAGTCATGTGATTAAATGTTGTTATATGAGTATGGATAAATGGACTCGGTATAGTTAATATTGTAAATTAGACCTCAGATAGGCCATGTGATTGTATATGACACAGGTTGTGTTTTGGGTAGAACTCCTCGTACAAAGGAGACTCTGTCCAAATTTTGTTAAATTAAGAATCCCTATTTTTTGGGGCGTCACAGACCAGAACCATTTTAAGATTTGTAGATGAGAAAAAAGGGTACAAAAGCCTATGAAGTTACACCACAATTATACTTAGACATGATTAGAGGAACTTTGTTTGCCAGTATACCATAAGTATGCTACAACTTAGTTGCCAAAGGTAATGCACCTAGTTAATCATGCTTAGGTCTTGCTTCAAAAAGTTTAAAGTTTGCACTGTGCACAAACTATCTCATTCATGACACTAAAAACATTGAAAGAGCACATCAAAGTAAAACAGGGAATTGTTGAACCTTCTACATTTTGTCATAGAAACCTATGACCAAAAAGACACATCTTTCATATGACAAAAACTTGTAGGAATTCTAATGTGTACCAAATGTACTGATATATAACATTACAAAGTCTAAACATAAATAAATCTATAAGTATTGGGAGATAAATAGTTATTCAATGTTATCTTTCCTATTCATTAATCGTTAGCTTAGAGAATTGACATTCACGACAAACAAACAAGAAGAAAAGATGGGGGAATGAATTTAAGAAATACTTTAACAATAAGCCAATCGCTTTGGGTGAAATCTCAATATCCCTGAGAATTCCAACAATATCAAAATGTGGAGTGCTCTTTCAGCTAAACATAACTTGAGGAATACCTAGGTACCAGAAAGCAGACAAATAGCCTCAAGGATTTCCAATAGACAAACTGTGACATGACAGAGGTGAGAATAATAAATGATTGAAGCTACAATAAGTAACTAATATTATTGATTATTTATTATAAGAATATGTAGAGTCAAAATGTTAGTGACTTCCATTGTATACTATTAAACACAAAAATAGGAGACGACTTAAATTCTATCAAGTGATATACTCAATTAATGCACACTCGCTAATCATCCAAAAACTACCGGCTCCTAAAACTAGTTATGGTATCAATAATATTTTTTTAGTATCATAACTATCCATTATATATTGTAGTTATTAGTTCAGGATAAAATTGACTTTAAAATATCAATTAATAGTAAAATTCAAAATTCAAAATTTTCTAATTAGATGTCTTTTGTATGCAATATATACATATACATATAGTATTTTACATATATATATCTATATATATTTATACCTATATATATCCGTATGAAAAATGTGTATATGTGTGTGTAAGTATCGACATTTGATGAGATGTGTAATTTAATCAATTGTTATAGCCTTCCCTGATCCCTCACTATAAAACCATATTCGAGTTGAAAAGTGAATCATCTTTTTTTGATAGGTGTCTTATAGAGATAAATAATAGTGGCCTTTTAAATATTTTATTAATTGTATAATAGAAAATGATTATATATGATAAAAGTTTCTAGTATGAAAGGATAAAGTTAACATTAAATGATTAATTAGGGGTGGATTAAAAAATAATTTTTTTTCATGTTAGATTTTTATTAGTAGTATAGATATAGATTATTCTAATATTTATCATAATAAAAGAGAATCTAAAAAAAATAAAGAATTTTTGGCATAATAATAGAAATTACAAATAAGTTTCTCAAAAATACTAAAACTTTGGATCCATTGGGAACATTTTTGTTGTCATAGCCCATGCCACACCTGAACTCTCCTCCGTAAAAAAAATCCTGAATAAACCGTATTTAAATACCTTGACAAATCCGCCTGTGGAAAAAACATGCCAATTCCCAATTGGCCAATTCCTTCATTTCCATCTCTCTCTCTCTCTCTCTCTCTCTCTCTCTCTCTCTCTCACACACACACACACAGGCGATGCTCATCTGCACCTGCTCCCACTTTCCCAGAAAACCCTAGAAAAAACGACGAGCTTTCCCGGTTAACCACCCAAACAGACATGGCATCGGCCTCTCGCACTCCAACCCCGGCACAGCCAGAGCAGACTCGCAACTGGCTGGAGCTCCCGCCGGAAGTGATGGCCACAATACTCCACAGGGTGGGGGCGATAGATATACTGGCGAATGTGCAGATGGTGTGTACTACCTGGCGGAGAATATGCAAAGATTCAGCGATGTGGAGAGTCATAGATATGCACAATTTGGGGGATTTGTGGGACATGGAACATGATCTTGAGAAGATGTGTAAGCACGCCGTTGATCGGAGCGAAGGGCAATTAATAGATATCAATATCGAGTACTTTGGCACAGATGAATTGCTCCAGTACATTGCCAATCGGTAAAAAAAAAAACCCTAGATGCATATGCATGAAAATTACTTGTGGTATAGGGTTTTAATTTTTTGTGTAAATTACATATTAGTTTCTCTGTGATTTGATGAGATACACAATCTTTCTAAGTATGCAGTAATCTCCTTTTGCTAGTGGATTTAAAGCGCACCATTTACCCGGGTCGTCGGTGCTGTTAGAAAGTAAACTTGACTTATAGGAATTATATTCTACTGTCAATATGGCTTAATTTGGTGTATTAATGTTAAAGATAGTGTAGTGATGTAATAATCTCAGGGGTCGTTTGGATGCGGTATTAAGAAAAAATGGATTGTACTAGAGAATACATGGCAATCTTGGATTCAAGCATTTGTTAAGGACGGTATTAAGAGTTGAATAATAAGGAAGTCCAATATAATATTTGGTTAGGTAATTTATTCAATTGTATTAAATGAGTGGACTAAAATGTCCTCAATCATCTCCAATTTGATTCCTTATAGTGATCCCATATTTCGTAGGACTATATCAATAGAACCAAAAGCTATGTAAATTTGTAAAATGAATATTTTTAAATAATATCGAAATTAAACAAGAATGCTTTAATTTTTTAAAAGTGTATTTTGCATATATGCATTTGTTTATTATTAATGTTGCCTATGTAATTTTTATTAAAATAAATAAGAAGGAATGATCACATGAATTTTTCTCATATCAAGGGTAAAATTGTAAAATAATGATATACTACACCTAAGTTGTATTATAATACTATCTCTCATGGTAGAAATTAAAATAGCTCAATAGTACGGATAGATTATATTAAAATTATCCGTATGTGATACTTATCTAGTTAATCTCATATATAGTGTGAAGTGATTTTTTGCATCCAAATGTAGTATAAACCTATATTAAAGCGTTTTTATCCAATATGACTCTTTAATACAACAACCAAACGACCTCTTAGCATATCATGTAGGTATGGATTATAATTGCAGTCTATACATACCCCATATGACATAGTCTTTGTAGAGTTGACAGATTAGCAATGTTAGCTTTAAGTGTATTGTCATTAATTTTGATTTAGATCGAAAGTCATTTTAAGTTTAACCCATCATTGCTATCATAGTTGTTAGTATTGTACAATATGCAATATAATACATATGATACGTATCGATCATGAATAAAATGATACGTATCACTTAAGTGTATCAGTTTGCACAGTGCCATACAATACGCGGCACGATACAAGATGATACGTACAAATTGTGCGATTCAAGGCGAAGCATACAAAAAAAAAAAAAAAAATTGTTGAATTTTAACTGGAAAATAACGCATTTTTACTTAAAGTCTTCTTTTTTATTTGTTCCATCGCGGAAGCAAATAGTTTAATTGTTAAAAGTGTCATTCTCCGGGTATTTTAGATGTTAGAACTACAACTCGTTAAATTTTGATATTGATGAATTATGTTAGAAATTTCAAAATTTAAATTGTTAATTTTTTATTTTAGTCGTTGTAGTCTCTTTAAATTGTTTTATGTGAGAAATTTATGGTGCAATGAAATGTTATTATAACGTTTTGTTATAAATATATGTATTTTTAACATCTTTTATAAAACTATATGTATCTTACAATATACAATACGTGATACACTATTTTTTAAAAATGACTCACCTTTCGATACACATTTTGACAACATTTATTGTATTGGATTATTTAATCTCAACCGTTTGCTACAAATAAGCATTATCGAAGATATTTTTAAACTGTTATTTGAAAAAAGAAAAGTAAGAAGATTTTCTTAAACGCATTATAATTGGTGCATTTCCGACACATGCAATGCAAAGGATAAACATATTCTTTTTATTAATAGTGTTTTTTAGCTCTTTTTTGTTTTTGAAGACCACATAATCTCTATCTAAATACTTAATTTCACAAAACCTACTAAAATCAACGACTTCAAGGAAAAGTAAAAAAAAGATTATTTTTTTTGGTAGGATATGTAATTTATTCCCACACATTTTTCTTTTTGTTAAAATTTTGGCTTCATGTGTTTGCCTGCTAGTTTCAGCGGCACAACTAATACTAATAGTCTCACTTTAATCCATTAACCAAGGAGGTCATGTGCATATTTCTAAAAGCACAATAGGGTTATTTGCAACTTGACCAAGCCAGAAGGAAGTAAAATATGTTTTACCTTCATTTGTTGTTGTTTTTTTTTTTTCTTTTTTTGACTGTGCGCATATTGTGAGTGCAATTATCCACAAAAATCCAATTGTGATCCTTTGATACTAACCTTAACTCTCATTTGCTTTTGGATTTACCAAGATATGATTTGACGTGTCATTTCCTTTCCTTATTAAATGGTTGTGGAATTAGGAACTGGTTATCCACAAAAATCCTATTGTGATCCTTTGGCACCAACCTCAACTCTTATTGTTTTTTGGATTTACCAAGATATGATTTAACGCGTCATTTCCTTTTCTTATTAAACGGTTTACAATTAGATTTAAAAATTTTGTAAGATCTCATACTATTTAAGTAGGATGCAATTTGCCTTTCTTTTACCTTTTCTTTCCCATTTGCCTTTCCTTCTTTGCATATACAAGCCAAATGGAGGGAAATGGCTCATTTAGTTCTTGGGTTTAGTGGAGCGAAGGAAATTGTTAGTATGTGCTCCTGCACAGTTTCAGTGTGTTATAAATCATGGCTAATTAGTGCAAATAGCAATTGTAAACCTGACAAGGCTTAACTAAGATTATGGGTCTAAAAATCCTATGAACTAAGTAAAATATACCAAAAAATGAAACTTAATATAGGATTGCATACCCACCAGGGAAAAAAAATAAGCTTTAACAAATCACGTCCCTCCTCCTGTAGAAATGTAATGTTGCATTATCAACAATGAAAAGTTGCAGGTCATCTTTATAGACCAAAATTACTGCCCCAAGGGTGAGCAAGACAAGATGTTTGGCTATGGTTTCTTGAAAATGCCAATATCTTTCTGCTTTTTTGATTTAGTATCACAGTACATTATCATAAACGAAAATGAGTCTTAGTTTTTTTTATATATCATTGGCGTTAGAGGTTCATCATAATCATTGCCTCTGGACAGTGTCTAGCTTCACCATTCTGCATATCAATCCTGGGTTATACCATTTTATGAGCTGAACAAAGACCATTTTTTAGACTTGAATGTCCTCTTTGGACTTTAAAAGTTCAACTTTTTTGACTTATTAATACATCTTTGTTACTCATTGATATTGACACCAGCTAATATTCATTTGTCAAAAATGGCATATTGATTCATTATGTTAACTATTGGACCCTTTTTTTCCCAAATAAGTCATAGGCTATATAAATGCAAAGCACATCATCTCTCAAGCATGTTTATTTGTTGGGCTGTGAAGAGGTTGGGTTCAACCTATAAGTTGCACTCAAGAAAAAAGAAGAAATCTTGTATTGTATGTGTCTTACTTTGAAGCATATGACTAGTTAGTGTCAAGAAATGTCGTGCTGATGATTTTGCATCCATATTACAATGGCAATGATTTCTGTTCCGTTTACTGTTCACTTGGTTGCTACAAGCATGGCGGAAAGAAAAACATAATTATTATATGCACAATGTTACCTTGGCATACCAGAGAAACAAATATCTTCCAGACTCTTTGGAGAGCAAGAATTTGTTGATTTTTAGAGTTATAAATGACCTTGAGGTTATTGTGTCACTGGCTCAGTGGTTAAAATTGACTAAATCACGTTGAGGTTGTGGGTTCAAATATGAGACGGTTATTGTGCAACTTATGTCATTCTCTACCACATCAAACCATCCTAGACCTCCATTAATGCGGACTAAACTAGGTTGGACCTTTTTTTTTGACCATTTAGGTGTTAAGAGTTTTTGGACTTTGGTTCTGCAGTCAACTATTATGTTTCATGGAGTTTTTTTCAGCTGGAGTTATACTCAGGCAGTGCTGGTTTAGCTCAATGTTTTCACAAAGACAGTGGTGTTTACAATTTCTATTATAATATTGTTTTATTACAATATTACAGTTTTTTCACTATCTTTCTTTGTTTGCATAATACTTGATGCAGTATGTCTATCCTATTTGGATTGTATATATGCTTAGATTCTTCCGTTTTCTTTTACAGGCACATGATTCTGTCATGAATTTGTTACTTGGTTAGAGATGGCATGTAGCAATATTGTTGGTAATAGCCAAACTTGGCTGTGCCAATTATCATGAACTGGGACATAGGAAGCACGGATACTTGCCGGAGGGGTGCCGTGGCAATGTTTGACACTTGTCTGACACGGCCAAAAGTATCCTAAATAGAAACGATTAGACTTTTTTTTTAATCTCACGACTGTTAACTATTATGGGGTGTAGGATTGCCTTATTTTGTTTTATTTTTTTGGTTATGTAACTTATGGACTATGAATATTAATGGATGTAATGATGTTCGATGAAAATGGAAGATGTTTTGTTTTAATCTATTTCAATTTTAATTAAAAAAATTAATATTTGTTAGGTCTTATTATTAATATTGTTATAAAATATTTGTTTTTAATATATCACAATTCTATTATTATCTAAAAATGTAAAAAGTATATAATATTATTTCAATTAGCTATATCCTTGCCGTACTCGTGTCCTATATTTTCAAAATTTGTCGTATACCCGCATCCATTATGGAATACGACACCAGTGTCCGTATTCATGCTTGCTAAAGTGGGGCATGTTAATTTGCCTGTGTTCGGGGCGCAACAATTCATATGGCTGCAGTACACCCTTAAAGTTCCATAGGTGACGGTTTGAGATTAGCTTGTTTGAACTTGGGAATGTTATTTGGAATGGAAAAATCAACTTGAAATGTTATTGCGAAACCTGACCTTGCTTTGAGCTCAGTGTGCCCTTTCCAGCTTTGCTCATTTAGGGCCATAGCTTGTTTCTTTACCTAATGTAGCCCTTTCAGGATCCAACTTACTTAAGTTCACTAATGCAAGTTAACTGCCATTCCCTCCTTTAAATGATTATTGATACCTTTACCTTTTTATCTTCACCTTGTCATTTGAGCCTCTCTACATGCATGCACATGGAATACACACATTTTTTTGCTTTTGCATAATTACTGATGGTTGCTCTCTCTTTGTTTTGTACCCTGTCCACAGTTCGAGTCAGCTGAGTCGTCTTCGGCTTGTATGTTGCCATAATGTATCAAGTGAAGGTTTGAGTGAAGCGGTTAAAAGACTACCATTATTGGAGGAGCTTCACCTGTACTACACCTCAATTGCCAAAGAATCTATTGAAGCTGTTGGACGATGTTGCCCTCTGCTGAAGTCCTTCAAATTAAACAATCAAGGGTCCAGACGCCCGCACATAGACTGCGATGAGGAGGCACTAGCTATTGCACGAAACATGCCTGCATTATGCCACCTTCAACTCTTTGGAAATAAGATGACAAATGATGGGCTGCAGGCCATTCTTGACGGTTGTCCTCACCTTGAGTCCCTTGATCTGCGGCAGTGTTTCAATGTTACTCTCACTGGGAATTTAGGCAGAAGGTGTTCTGAACAGATTAGAGATATGAGGCATCCCAATGACTCCACTGAGGACTATGGATTTGATGCTGAAATTCATGACTGTGAATCGTGTGATGAGGAGTACCCGTCTGGGTTTTCTGATATTGACTTTTTGTCTGATGATGATGAGTATTATGAATTCTCTGGTGCCAGCAATGGGTTTTCTGACTATGAGGAGCTGTTTTTTGATTAATTTGTTGGCTATTGAATCTATTGACGGTGAGCGACCAAGAATGTAGGGCGTGTCTTTGTTTTTTTTTTATAGGAAACATAACTCTTTTTTTANGATATTGACTTTTTGTCTGATGATGATGAGTATTATGAATTCTCTGGTGCCAGCAATGGGTTTTCTGACTATGAGGAGCTGTTTTTTGATTAATTTGTTGGCTATTGAATCTATTGACGGTGAGCGACATTGAATGAAATAGATGACCAAAATAGAAAGGGTACATAAAAAATTGTGAGCACGTGAGTTGTGTGTTTTTTGCATGTCCAACTCAAAAAAAAAAATTTGTTTTCTTCCGAGTGCACAACTTTGAGTATATCACAGCCCTCTGTATTTGTGATGGAACCTGGAGTGTACATCTTTTTTCCCCCATGCTTTTCAGTGTTTTCTGTGTGCATTTGTGCGGGCGTGTATGTGTCTGGGGGAAAGGACCTTGACCATTCTGTTGATAAATTTTGATGATGAATTTTTGCTGTTTTGTAGGTCGAGATGGGGTGATAGCTGCGAATCTCTGCAAACATGTAGGGCAAATCTATGCTTTTCTAGAAGTGGATATAGCTCAAACAGCATTGTCAATCTGTTGCAGTTGCTGTTGATGGGACTTGAGGTTTTTTAACTTCTCTCCTCTTTCTGTACATGATCGGCCACCTCTGTATCCAGGTTGCTCTTCGCAGATCGTGGTTATTCGGTATTATAGATGGTCCTCCTGGCACTTTTAATGATTCTGTTATGCATCTATTTTGTTCACGTTCCGATGAACACCTTGTGTTGTTTACTGTGCCTGTGATTATGCCTAATAGTGCTTATAAAGAGCTATCAGTTGTACATATGTTTACTTGAGACTTATTCTGAAGACTGGGCCAATACAATGTGGGAGAAGCTTCTTGAGTGATAATTGCTGAATCAAGTGGTGCTTATTAATTACAACGAGTTCAAGCCTCTATTACAAAATCAAGTTATGAATAGTATGTGGTGTTGGTCGAACTAATCTGCTTTAGGAATTTCCGTAGCAGCCAGCCCTTAATAGTTGTGGTAAACCTACTATCTTTCCTGCTTTCGCAACATTTGTCCCTGGCAAGGCACCTTTTCATTTTAATTGGTAAGTAGGGTTGATAATCGAATTGAATTACTTAGGTTCAGTTTGGATTCGACTTATTTCCTAAACGAGCAAAGTTTGAACACATTTTTAGATTATTTAGAAAAATGAGCGTAAAAATGCTCAACTCGTCAATATATTAAAAAGTCGAGTTATTTAGATTCGGTTTGCGGTTCGGGCTCGGTTCGTTTAGAAACAAGGTTAACTTGAACAAATTTTTAGGTCAAGTTTGGCTCAATTATCAGTCTTATTGGTACGGGCTGCCCATATTCTTGCTACCTCTATTTATACCCGAAAGTCGCTCAATCTTCTCTTTATGTTGGGATTTGATTAGTTTTTAGTTTCAGGCTTTCATATGTTGGGTTGCGTTTCAATTGATCTCCCAACTCGTCTAAGTTGTTGCTAGTTCAGGTGATGGTTAAAAGAAGATCGGCTATAATTCAATGGGAATCAAGATACGATTAAAAAAAAACTCGTCTCAATCTTATCATGTTGGAATTGATCCAAACAATCCATTTTACCCTAAGATGACCGAATTCAATTGTAATCTCACTTTTAGTTTATAGTAACTTTTCGCATGGTAATTAACAAGATTTTGGTCTAATGGTATTTTTTTTTTTAAAAGGCTTTGTCTTTTTTAAGTAAAGGATTCATGTCCCTTGGGTGACAAAAAACGTGGTTGATCGGTATGACGGNCTGTGTGCATTTGTGCGGGTGTGTATGTGTCTTGGGGAAGGGACCTTGACCATTCTGTTGATAAATTTTGATGATGAATTTTTGCTGTTTTGTAGGTCGAGATTGGGTGATAGCTGCGAATCTCTGCAAACATGTAGGGCAAATCTATGCTTTTCTAGAAGTGGATATAGCTCAAACAGCATTGTCAATCTGTTGCAGTTGCTGTTGATGGGACTTGAGGTTTTTTAACTTCTCTCCTCTTTCTGTACATGATCGGCCACCTCTGTATCCAGGTTGCTCTTCGCAGATCGTGGTTATTCGGTATTATAGATGGTCCTCCTGGCACTTTTAATGATTCTGTTATGCATCTATTTTGTTCACGTTCCGATGAACACCTTGTGTTGTTTACTGTGCCTGTGATTATGCCTAATAGTGCTTATAAAGAGCTATCAGTTGTACATATGTTTACTTGAGACTTATTCTGAAGACTGGGCCAATACAATGTGGGAGAAGCTTCTTGAGTGATAATTGCTGAATCAAGTGGTGCTTATTAATTACAACGAGTTCAAGCCTCTATTACAAAATCAAGTTATGAATAGTATGTGGTGTTGGTCGAACTAATCTGCTTTAGGAATTTCCGTAGCAGCCAGCCCTTAATAGTTGTGGTAAACCTACTATCTTTCCTGCTTTCGCAACATTTGTCCCTGGCAAGGCACCTTTTCATTTTAATTGGTAAGTAGGGTTGATAATCGAATTGAATTACTTAGGTTCAGTTTGGATTCGACTTATTTCCTAAACGAGCAAAGTTTGAACACATTTTTAGATTATTTAGAAAAATGAGCGTAAAAATGCTCAACTCGTCAATATATTAAAAAGTCGAGTTATTTAGATTCGGTTTGCGGTTCGGGCTCGGTTCGTTTAGAAACAAGGTTAACTTGAACAAATTTTTAGGTCAAGTTTGGCTCAATTATCAGTCTTATTGGTACGGGCTGCCCATATTCTTGCTACCTCTATTTATACCCGAAAGTCGCTCAATCTTCTCTTTATGTTGGGATTTGATTAGTTTTTAGTTTCAGGCTTTCATATGTTGGGTTGCGTTTCAATTGATCTCCCAACTCATCTAAGTTGTTGCTAGTTCAGGTGATGGTTAAAAGAAGATCGGCTATAATTCAATGGGAATCAAGATACGATTAAAAAAAAACTCGTCTCAATCTTATCATGTTGGAATTGATCCAAACAATCCANAGTGATAATTGCTGAATCAAGTGGTGCTTATTAATTACAACGAGTTCAAGCCTCTATTACAAAATCAAGTTATGAATAGTATGTGGTGTTGGTCGAACTAATCTGCTTTAGGAATTTCCGTAGCAGCCAGCCCTTAATAGTTGTGGTAAACCTACTATCTTTCCTGCTTTCGCAACATTTGTCCCTGGCAAGGCACCTTTTCATTTTAATTGGTAAGTAGGGTTGATAATCGAATTGAATTACTTAGGTTCAGTTTGGATTCGACTTATTTCCTAAACGAGCAAAGTTTGAACACATTTTTAGATTATTTAGAAAAATGAGCGTAAAAATGCTCAACTCGTCAATATATTAAAAAGTCGAGTTATTTAGATTCGGTTTGCGGTTCGGGCTCGGTTCGTTTAGAAACAAGGTTAACTTGAACAAATTTTTAGGTCAAGTTTGGCTCAATTATCAGTCTTATTGGTACGGGCTGCCCATATTCTTGCTACCTCTATTTATACCCGAAAGTCGCTCAATCTTCTCTTTATGTTGGGATTTGATTAGTTTTTAGTTTCAGGCTTTCATATGTTGGGTTGCGTTTCAATTGATCTCCCAACTCGTCTAAGTTGTTGCTAGTTCAGGTGATGGTTAAAAGAAGATCGGCTATAATTCAATGGGAATCAAGATACGATTAAAAAAAAACTCGTCTCAATCTTATCATGTTGGAATTGATCCAAACAATCCATTTTACCCTAAGATGACCGAATTCAATTGTAATCTCACTTTTAGTTTATAGTAACTTTTCGCATGGTAATTAACAAGATTTTGGTCTAATGGTATTTTTTTTTTTAAAAGGCTTTGTCTTTTTTAAGTAAAGGATTCATGTCCCTTGGGTGACAAAAAACGTGGTTGATCGGTATGATAGATTTCAGTTATTTGGACTAATTGTATCAAAGTTTTTAGTATTTGTTTGAATTTTCACTAAAACATAAGTCCTGATTTAATTAGTGTATATGTTGAGGAATTAGTTAATGCACTCTAGGTTTGCTCTCAATTCTACTCAAGCTTATGAATCTGAGTGTCATAAACGCGTATCTCCTCGCCGAGGATAGATTAGAGATTTCTTCCGTTACCCCCCTTTTCGCATGGTATCTATTAAATAATAATTCTTCAGACCCATTCAATGAACCGCCTAATGCAAAATTTCTTTAAATCATCCTTGATTTCCTTAACAGTAACCCACTGCATGTTCCAAGGCAAAAACAGCAGCATCAACATTAATTTTCATAATTCCAGAATCAAGAAGAATAGAATTTCACACAAAAATCCTTACATTTCCTTCGTTCAATAATTCAAATAACTGATACAAAATATGGGCACACCAAATAACATATCTAAATTAGGGGTGCAACTTGGTTAGACAACCCGAAAAAATTAGGGCTTTGACAAGGTTTTTTAATACTTGGGTTAAGTTTGGGTCAAAAAATATTAACCCGAATTCAATTGGGGTTAGGTTCGGGTTAAGACCTCATGAACCCGAGTTCAACCTAAACCCGAAAAATTAAAAAAAAATTATATATATATAAAGCATTAGCACTGATTTTTTATTTTTGTTCTCTCGTTCTCTTTGTCTCTCTCGTTCTCTTAACCTCTCTTGTTAAAAACTTAGTTGAAGTTATTGGTTGTTAATTTAGGTGAATATTATGTAATATATGTATTAAGTTTAGAACAACAAGCCTATTTTGAACTCTACCCCAATTGAACCCGTAAAATAACTCGAAATCATCAACCCGAATTCAACCCGAGCCTGTCCGAGTTAAACTCAGGTAGTGCTCAGGTTGAGTTCCCCAACCCGAGGTAGAGTTAGGGTTAGAGTTAGGGTTGAAGATTATATACTTAGGGTTGGGCTAGGTTTGATTGTCCAACCCGCTCGAGTTACACCCCTAATCTAAACCGACGTCACACAGCTCTG